GGTGAAAATCACAGGGGAGAGCAGGGGTGGCTTTCTCAGGCCGCAGAGGCCCTTTCAGCCACTCTCAGCAGGCAGCCACCCCGCACGCCCAGCTGGCCCGGACTTTGAAATGACTGCCCACTGGGCATTCACTTGCAAAGCAACAAAATGAAATGGAGGAGACCTGTGTGTGTGAAATGCTAACTTTGAGGGCTGCTCTGCACAGAAGGGAGGTGGGGGAGGGGCCCCACCCAGCTCTGAAGGAGGAAAAGTTGTTTGTAGTTGGGTTCACTTGTGGTGTTTTTTAATGTTGGTTCTGGTCCTTCCTTGATTTAACAAGTGCCACCACTCCTTATGGAGTGCTACCGTGTGGTATCACTTTTAATCCTTACAACCACCTTGCACAATAGACATTAATATCCCCCATGTCACAGCTAGTAAGCGACAAAGTGAGAATCTGAACTCCAGTCCTTGGACTCCAGGGTCATTGCTTTTTCATTACACCTGAGCCCCAGGAGGCTGCAAAGAATGATGCTCAGTCGGGATGCTGGGCAGGGCTCAAAAGCTGGAGTGTCACCGAAGAACACTAAGATTTGCCTCCTAGAAGTGACGCTTCGGGTTGGTGGCACCCTTTCCTTCAGGTTTCTGTGCCCCCTCCTGAAACCCGCGTGGACCCAGGAGGAGGCTGAAGCTTAGGATGAGATACCTTCCCTAGCATGTTAGAGCAGGAAGTGGCAGCCCTGACTAGAGCCCCGGCTGCCTGACTGCTCAGTGCTCTCTCGGCTCTGGTCGTTGACAGGATAGCAAGTTTGGAGAAGCCCTTTTTCCCAGCAGTCCTCCTCTTAAAAAGAAAATCCTGCATTGTACGGAATGTTAAGAGTAGCTCAAAATTGTTGCTAATCAGAGACGCAAGCTAAGACAATAACATGAGACCCCTTTAGACCTATCGGGCTTGCAGTCAATAGGAAGCTGGCAACTGCCGAGTGTTGGCCAGGAGCGCCCCTGTCCTGCTGGCAGGAGGGTAGATGGAGCAGCTTTCCTGGAGGGGACCCTGGAACAGTGGCATCAAACCAAGTAACGGAAACCCAAAACCCAGGGATCCCACTGCATGTACATGCCCCAGAGAAATACTCACACCCATCCAAAAGGGCACATGCAAGACGGTGTTCTTTGAGCATCGTTTTTGGTGGCTGGGACATGGCGGCTGCCTGAGTGGGTAATCTCTGGGAGAGCAGAGAGGGAAAAATGTGGTGGATGTGCCATGGAGAATTATATAGCAATTCCTAAAAATGCAATTATTGTATACTTAGCAGTATGAGTTTATCTTAAAATGTAGTTATTTGTGAAAAGAAGTAATAAACAAATACATACGCGTATATGTATATAAAGAAAGAGAAAAGAGAAAACCCTGCTTGGCTCAGTTCTGGAAAGCAAGAACCTCTGTCTTGTATCCTCCTCAGGCGCCGGCATGCAGCTGGGCACAAAGTAGGTGTGTACACGTGTTTGTTGAATAGATGAATAGAGGAGTGCCTGGAGCCAGGCTGGATGAATTATCCAGGTCATCCTGTGTGACCCTGTCTTAGAATCCCTGGGTATTGGTCAACCTGCTACTGCCAGCTTCAGACTAGAACACATTGGTCCATCAAAGGGGTGGAAGTGTAGGGTAAGGTGGCAGGCCGAAGTCACCCTGAATTGAACACCTGTTATACGCCAGGTACTGGGCTGGGATCCCAGCAAAGTAGAGGTTAGTGTCCTTATTTGATAGGTGAGAAAACTGAGACTCAGAGAATTGATTTGCCCAGGATTATCTAGCTGGACTAGAATTTGAATCCAGGTCTAATTTATTCCAAAGTCCTTTATTCATCCTTTTCATTACGCTACACTCGGCCCTCAAGGGACATGAGGAGGAGGCATCTCCATCCTCTTTCTTCGGCCTTGCCTCCAGAGCAGACCTGCTTCCAGAATTCTCAGGACCCAGGCAGGGAAACATGGGTCACTGACCCACTGGAGACAGGAGGGATTCTGACTGCACTGAGTTTCTCCTGGCTGTGTCCTGCTTTCTCATTTCCCTGCCCTGGCTCATCTCCTTTGGTCTCATATTATAGCAGCCCCCAAACTGTCTTCTTGTTCCCACTTTCTACTCTCTCCCCTTTCAGACTCAACTTGCTTAAGCTCTCAGGTTAATTTTGTAATTTCCTTTGCCCAGAAACCTTCGGTGACAACCTCTCTGCCTGTGGTGAGAGTCTAAGGAATGCCAAAGAGGTTTCTTCTCTGTTGCCAGCTTTAGTTGATTAATGGTGGCCGATTGGAACGAGTGTTGAGGATTCTGAGGCTTTTTCAAAGGCTCCACAGGAGAGAGCTGCCAGGAGAGATTCACGATTTCTGACTTAGATGCAAGAGTGTAGGACAGTAGCCTGCATGCCAGACATTTGTCAACCCTTTAGACTGGGTTTTTAGCCTAAGATCTGTTATTGATTTCATGAAGAGCTGTGAACTCCTGGACATTGTATGTAAGGAAAGAAAAATTTCTTTTTTGAGTATGTGTGTTCCTATGCACTTTTCTGGAGAGAGTCATCTGCTTGAAGCCTATGGCTCAAAAAGGTTTATGCCCACCGCCTTGGTAGCTTGGCTTTAGAGGTCCTGTTGTAGACCCTGCATACCTTGGCAGCTGCCTGTTTCTTTGCTGTGAACTGTCACCTGGTTGGATCTACCTGAATCCTTTTATATCTCTGAATCTACCTTCCCATTGCTTCCCTGCTTCTGTCTTGTTCCTTTCCTCTTGACTGGCGTGCACTTCCTCCCTTGCCTCTAAATTGTTCCTGTTCTTCAAGGCACACTTCATGTCTTTTCCTTCAGAAACCTCTTTGTTTTGCTTCAGCTGGTCCTGACTTTCTAGCCTTCTGGACTGAGGACCAGAGAAATGAGGCCATCTGATCAGAATCACAGGATCAGAACTCCAGGCTCTAAACTTTCAAACCCATGCGCTTTGCACAGCACCTGCTAAACCAGGGCAGGTTTTGTAAATTAGGAAGGAGTTTTTGTGCAAAAAGAGATTTTTGTCTCATAGGGCTCTTAATATTCTTGGCCATGGAAAATTGTTTCTCCAAAAAGAAGTTTAACTGTGTGTGGTAAAGAGGCCCAGGAGTTTCACCAGAAAAAATCCTCAAATTAGAGATGGGAGATGAGGGTTTCCCAACCTCCTCTCTTGACAATCCTCCCTCACATTTTGGGCCCAGTCATGCTGCCTTCTCCTCTGGATGAGAGGCTTTACCTCTGCCTGACATACTCCTTCCCCTCCCTCGACCCCATTTATCTGGCAACTCTCTGGCATCACTGCCTCAGGGAGGACTTCCCGGTCGCTGAGTCTGGGTTAGGTTCCCCGGGTGTGCATCTGCGCTCCCCCATTCACAGAGCTCCTCCGATGCATGCTTGTGTGCTTGCTGGCCCTGGGCTCCGACAGTGCCTGTCTCCTCCCTGCGTCAGCGCAGGCCAGATGAGTGCGACATGCTGTGGCTCCTCCTCCCAAGCCTTGTGCCCCTGCTTACTTCAGCCGCACAGAGCTTTTATTTGACTTGATCCAGACAAGCAGTTACTGCACATTGTGGCACAACCCCGCCTCCACACTCTCTGCTGGTGCCTTTCATTTGGAACCCACTAAAGAGCAGCCTCCCAGTTCTCCCAAACACCCTCCACCCATTCCTCATAGGCAGATCCTGCCTTGTTGGCGAATCGTTCTTGACTTTTGGTCTCGCGCTCTCCTGGCTCCCTGCAGCACTTCTGGTGGGAAACCACACACTCCAGGCTTTGGTTTCCTACTATCCTTAGTTCCCCCCCTCCACAACTAAATCATTTGCTCCCTAGGGCAGACCCCATGTCTTCTCACCCCCCACCCCAGAATCTAGCACAGGACCAAGGACATACAGTGATTTGCTAAAGTCAGTTGAGTGTCTTGTTTTCCACGTTCCATGGAGCTAGGTTCGGTCTGGAGGAAGGGCTGTGAGGTGACAGGAATTCTGGCTCTAGAGCCATTATCAACCTGAACTTCAGTCACTGATTGCCCTTAGCTGGCTTTGTGACCTTCAGCGAGTCATTTCACTTCACTGAGCCTGTCACCTCATCCATGAAAAGAGGTTAACATCAGTTCCTTAAACTTGTGTGAAGAGTAAATGAGAGCATATGTGTCAAGTAGTGAAGGCAGTTCCTGCTTACAGTAGGTGCTCAGTAAGAGTTGGTTCTTTTTACTCCCTTTCTCTCTGTCCAACCCCACGTTATAGGGCCCCTTGTTCCCAGGACCCAGAATTCAGGATTTTAATGATATATTTAAAGCCCTGTGTTTGTTAGTTTATCCAGCAACTATTGAACTCCTACTGTGTGCTAGGCACTGGCATAGAGAGTCAAACAGGCTCGTGTGGACTTTCCTAGAAACCTAATCTAGCATTTCTAACATTCTTCCCATCTTTCCTTGGGTTCAAGATTTTCAGTTTCCAAACAGCCACCATACAGAGAAACTTGAGGATGTGATCCTTTGGTAAACTGGGAACTACCTAGATAGGCAGTGTCATTGGGCATTCAGTGCTCCTCCATGAAACATGGGGGAATTCTAAGGACAGAGAAGAGATCTGTGGACTGGATGAGCCAAGGAAGCCTTCTCAGGAGGGAGTTCTCAAGCCAGGATTGTACCCCATAGCATGCTATTAGGATTAGAGTAGGCAAAGAATCAGGGAAAGAGCATTCTGGACTAAGGGAATGGGAGTGTCAGGGTATTAAAGTAGGGAAGACACATTCTTTCCTCAGAAGGTAACGGCAGGGGTCAGACTCATTCAAGGGAAGAATGAGAGAGACAGGAGAGGCCTGGGGTGAGGGGAGAGTGGCCAGAGGAGCTGGGGTGGGTACTTAGTTCTCAAAGGCCTGTGACTATTTCCAGATTCACCTAGCCTCCCTGTTTGTTGACTGTCTCATTTCTTCCACTCCTACTTCCGCGACAAGCCATATACTGAAAATATTCCTCTGTTTCTTTCTAGGCTCTTGTCGGAAGGTGCAGATGTTAATGCAAGGCACAGACTTGGCTGGACAGCACTCATGGTGGCAGCCATCAGCCGAAATGACAGGTGAGAGATCTTCCACACAGGGCTCCCTTAGCCTGAGCCTTGCAGACCACATTCCAGAACCCTCTCCCACCCTGCTTACCTCCTTGTTGTCTTCCCCAGAGGCAGGGTGATGGACTGAGCTGAAGGTCAGATCTATACCTGGTATAATGAAAGTATAGAAGATGGGGAAAGGGAAGAGATAGCCTTGGATCCTGGCTCCATCTTTCATTTGCTTTGTGACCTTAGGCGAGTCATTTGCATTATTGAAGCCATGAAATGTTTGCAAGCCTGTGTTATAAGTGGTTGAAGGTACACATGTGAGTTCCCTTCATGTTTTCGTTATCCACTGTCTGTCCATGTGGAGGAAGCTAGTCACCGTCCTCAGTGAGGGCTCCACTGGGCTATTTCTTTGAAGATTCTGATGGAAACTGGGGGGTGGGGGGGGTGGCACTCCCCCCCCACCATTGGAGGCCCTGCTCTTTTCCTGCCCACTTCCCCATTCCCTCAGGGGGAAGCTATTTTGTAAAGGTTGAAATAGTCCCCTATGTGTAGAGAGTTATTTCCAATTCTCACAATTGCCAAAATTTGCCAAAATTCTCATTTTGCAGTTGAGAGAACTGAAGCCCAGACAGAAAAGATGATTTGTCTGAGGTCACACAGGAGTTAGAATTTGGTCTGGCCTGCAAAATTTGTGTTTTACTTTACCTCACTGCTGCCTCCGTGTGCCAGATCCCGGATGCTACTTCTTCATCCCAGTCTCTAGCTGTAGTTACACTGTAGTTATGCAAAAGAATTGATTAAGAGCAAAAAGAAATGCTTTCAAAGAAAGCAGACTGGGCACTTTAGTAGCAGCCATGGAAATTGATAGTTTGAAGTACCAGTTTTAATTTTTTCTTCAAGCCGATCATTAAGGCTTTTGTCTGCCACTACTGGCCTCTTTTGGAAGGATCATAAATGTGGTGGAAACCGACGAAACAGGGATTTTCTAATATAGAGGTGGCACTGCCTCAGACGGGCTGAGAGACTTAGCTGTACTTGAGATAGGTCTCTCTTCTCTGTTCCTCTGTCCTGAGCCTGTTCTCAGCACTCCATTTCCTTATTTGCCTCTTAAGCTCCAAGCACTTAAAAGAAAACTTGGTGTAAATAGGCTTTGCAGTTGAGAGGCCTGGAATCCAGTTCTGGTTCTGACCCTTAGTTGAATTTCAGAATTCTGGGGGTACCCTGTTTCTTCACCTGAAATCAGTTATTTTCACAAGCATGTGGTAAATATCTACTCAGCCAGACTTTGTGCTAATCATTGGAGAATCAGAGACCTTGGGAGCTCAAGGTCCAATGTAGAAAAGAAAGGCAGGTAAGAGAGAGAGTCTAATGTAACCACTGATGTCAGAGCCATGTGGACAGGGTATTATCAGAGCAGAGGGTATGAGGGGACTGAATCTGGCAGCAGAGTAGATTCCTGCTATATTTTTGCGAGAGCCCAGTGAGATAGTGTATATGCTACCTGTTACAAATGACCAATTGTTATTCTCTATTACCCACATTAGCTGTGTCTACACACAAACGTGTTTATTCTACCACTGATACTCCACCCACCACCACCTCCACCCCACCCACCGGTCTTCTTTCCCCGCTGGCAGCTCTCTCCATCCACAAGAGATAGCAAGCAGGTGGTGGAGAAAAGGGAAGGGGGTGTGTGGCCCTTCTAGATGTAGTATTTCCAGCATTGAGACAGACGAGGAAATAACACTATACTTAAGAGTATTGTCAATCAGTGTGCAGCTAGCTGGTAGATGTGCTTTGGGGACACTTTTCTCTAATTCTAATGACTTGTTGCCTTAACTGATTGCCCTGTCTTTATCCAGTGCCATTAGCAAATCAGTGATGCTTGTTGAGCAAAGTGAGAGTGTTGGCTTGTATTTACTTGTTTTGGTTCTTGGAACTAATTATTGGTGTTTTAAACATCCATTTTGTGTCCTCCTCTTCCTTCCAGTGTCTAGGGACAGATTTTTATTGAAAGTAGCGTACCTTTTAGGTTAATTTATTCATATCATAATTTTTTTTTGGCACCTACTGTCTGCCAGGCACTGTTCCTGACAGACAAATATCCCTACCTTCATAGAGCTTACTTCTATACTAGTGGTGGTCCCTGGGTAGTAAATGATAAATATATTTATATATTTATATAAATAAGATATATACTGTATTAGAAGGTAAGAAGTGCTATGGAGAAAGGAAAATAGAACCTGATAAAAAGGAATGCCCGAAGTACCTTGATCAGGGTGAGTAGGCCTCATTGGTAAGGTGCTATGGGTGTGGTCTTAAAAGATGATCATGTTCATACCAGCACAGTCTGCCAATAAGTTTCTCCTTATTAGAAGTATACTGATCCTTATTTCATCAGTTACCAAGCCCTTCTGGAATCATATTGGCCAGGACTGAAATGCCACCATTTCAACTGGACTTGGATGAAGGGAGGATAGAGGGACAGCACCCCTTGCTTCAAGGCTGAAGCAGAGAACCTTCACCTCCATTAGATGTTGTCAGCCCACAAGCTCAAAGGAGAGGTCCTGAGAGGATCCAGTCATTTCACCCTCAACTGCCTTTAGTGAGTGCCTGCTTCATGACTATGTCTTTAGGGATATAGCACAATAATCTCTCTATCCTTAAGGAGACGAACATCTTGTGAACTGTTATTTGTATATGTATTTTTTAACTTAATTTTGAATAGTAAAGATAGTACTATTTTATTTAATTTTTAATAAAAAATACAGTCCTATAGAACAAAATTTTAAAAGTGTGTATGGGAACTTAACTTATAATTTATTCTCTCCTTTTATTTCCAAAAAGGGTTTGCAGTGACTCAAATTAAAATACAAATATAAATGTACACAGGAGAGTTAAAACTGGATCAGGATCAGAAATCATATTGGTAAAAGGAAAGATAATTGTATCAGGATTGAACCAGAGATTTTCTTTTCTGAAAATAGGTTTATTGTTTTTGTAAAAATAATATAGAGAAGAAAGTAGCAGTCAACTGAATTCCCTCTATCTAGAAATTGAGCAGTGTATATGTGTGATTTCACATAAATGGGACCATGCTATACTCACTGTAAGTCAGGTAATTAGTGGAATTAAGTATTACTTTAGATGAAGTTTCCTGATGAGCAAGGCAAAAAAAAGGAATACAGAGAGTTTGGTTCTTCAGGAAAGAAGAACTTTGTTCTGACACCCCTTTCTATTACCATTTTATGTATCCAGCAAACATTTTTTAAAACTATACTACGTCTGGTGCTAATGTGCTAGGCTGTGACGGATTCAGATAATAAGCATCACAGCCTTTGCCTTAAGAAGCTTCCTTGGACTGCTGACATCAAGGACTCGAGTAACATGGTGGCCATTGTCTTCAGTAGCCGTTCTGCCAAAGATTTACCAACATTCTACTAGGATGATCCTTTGGCCAGCCCTACCTAGTAACAGCTTGGGTGAAGTAGTGACTTGAGGAGCAGTTGCTGGGGGCTGACCCCTTTTCCATAGTGAGGCCTCCATAAGCCTCATGCAATAGGCACTTGTTTAGCTTGAGTCTGGGTGCCTCATTCTGTGTTGCACTTTGACCCAGCCCAGCTAAAGTCTAAGCCACAGGGTCCCAGGATGATCACTGTGACTTAGCAGAGCCTTCACCAGCTCGTGCAAATATACCCAGCCTGCAGCTAAATTCAATTAGTTTTTCTTTAAGAAGAGAAAGAAATCCAATTTTACCAAACATGGACAGACGGTGGAAGGCACTTTGATGTTACAACCTCTCAGTGATGCTTTACTTAGTCACAAGTTCATAAGCAAGAAGGCTTAATTACTTGGGAAAACACAGGATTAAAACTGGACACAATGGCTGAGTATCCGCTCTTAGGCGACTTGATTCGAACCCATGTACCCAGTTCGTGTGTGGTGCAAACTTTGATGTGTGCTATGACAAGCTGAAAGTCATGACCCCCTCAGGGAAGCTCCTTCACATGGCATTTGCAGGATGTGTAGGCGGAGAGGCAGGGCCTGCCAGGCCTGTTTGCTCAACTTTGATGTCCATGCAGCCACAGGCCCCACTGTTTGCTCTTTCACTGAAGGATGGATTGGGAGCCTCCTACCTTTCCCAGTGGACAATGGCCAGCAATGGAGTGTGACGACTGTTGACCATTCCAGGAGCCTGGTGGACCAGAACAGGGCTTTTGGGAGGTGCAGAGCCTGGGGGGCCAAAAGCTGTTTGTAAGACGGCCATTTCTCCAGATGTAGCTTTCCTTAAAGTCTAGTGTTGGTTGGGTGCTTACAATGGAGGTAAAAATAGCCTCATGAGTTTTAGCAGGTATCAGCTACTGCTTGACTCTCCGTCCAGTGGCACTAAGGTATTTGTAAACTGAAGGTTTAAGTCTATCCTGTTTCCTTCATCAGCATGTATATGCAGGGGATAGTGGTTTGGCAGAAAAATGGTATGATTTAGATCCTTATAATTTTTAATTTTTCAAAAAAAGAAACTGTCAAAACACACATCTGATAAAGGAATATTATCCAGAAGATATAAAGAACTCTTATAAATCAAGAATAAAAAGACAACCCAATTTTTAAAAAATGGGCAAAAGATTTTAGCAGACATTAACCAGAGAAGAGATGGATGGCAAACAAGCACATGAAAAGATACTCCGCATTAGTCATTTAGAATGGCTAAAATTTAGAAAAGCTGACAATACCAAGTGCTGACAGGGATGCAGAACAATTGCCATCATTGCTGATAGGAATGCATTATTATGCTGTGGCCACTTTGGAAAACACTTAGGCAGTTTCTCATAAAGGTGAAACATATATTTACCGTGCAACCCAGCAATACCAGCTCCTGTACCAACTTTATCCATGAGACGTAACAACACACATCTTCAAAAAGACCTGTAGCTTTGTAGACATAGTAGCTTTGTTCATAATCGCCAAAAACTGGAAATCACCCAAATGTCCATCAGCTGGTGAATGGACAAATTATGGTA